AACTGTGACTGGCATTGTGCTGGACAAAGACTTGATCGCAGTTGTACTGAAAACCAAAATATCGCAAAAGCGCAGACGTGTCTGAACGATATGCGCAGGCGCGCTTCCTACCTCGAGAATGTGGAGTGTACCTTGGGCCAACGGTAAGCAGGAGAGTGGCGCTCGGGCGCAGTAGCACCATTTACGAATCGTTTGAACGCGAATCATTGTAAGACAGGCTGTCGCACCTTTCAATACTAACAATCGGGGAACCCGCAAGAAGCAGAGCATAAACATTATTTTGATTGACTGCCAAAAGCATCAGATACGTATCGAGTGACTTCGTGCTTTCCTTTCGCAGATAATCCGATTCTCCCATGACGCACAAACCTTAAGCAGCTCATAGTCTTCGACTGCATTCTGATATTTCTCTGAAATGTTTGAATATGCAAAGGCTCGCCGTTCCAGAGCTTTGTCATTGGTTGTGTTGGCCTGCAACCATGCAAAATTACAGGCGAAACATTAGTTACGAAGGTACTTCACCTCTATTGCTTTAGTAGCCGCCCCTGCTGCTTCCTCCCACAAAGCTTGTTTGATATAGGCTGCTGAGAGATTGGAATGTAAAACTGAACAAAGTTCCACATCTTCCGGAGGGCAGATTGCTAGAGCTTCCTGATGCAACACTTAGAAACGGTAAGCAATGCAGAAATCGAATAGGGAACAACCTTATACTTATCCTCGGCTAGTGTCCATTCACCCTCACCAAACTTAGCGTTTCCTTCTTGTTTCAACTTTTCGGCCGTCTTTGTGGGTTCAGAATCTTCCCATTCCTCTTCGATAACTACCATGCTGACAAGTACAAACCGTGCTGTCAAAGAACTGTTAACTCGACGCCAAGTCGTTAGGTGCCGCACATACTTTGCGTCAGCGTTTTGAGCGTACGCCGGCGTTTTGAGCGTTTTCGCAGGCGATTTCGCGCTGCTAGCGCGCAGCGTAGTGATACCGCCGAGCCTGAAACGCTAGGTCGATACCTATATTTTCCTAACGCTCAAAACGCTGACGCGAAGTATGAACGCAGCCAAATGTATTAGAAATATTTTATGGAATGGAACCACGAAGGTCTGTGCAAAGGAAATCCTTTTTATTTTATATATTATTAATATTAACAAAGCTATCTACAACAATAACAACATACAACAATGAATCTGCTACAGCAGTATTCAGAACACAACAGTTCAGAACACTTAAGATCAATGTAGACTCGCAATCTATCAAACGACTGTTCGCATCGGAAGAGGAGATGCATTCTGGCGACCTCCTTTACTCTCAGTTCTTCGTGTTGGTTACAAAAAAGCCTACTTGACTAATTTCAGAATTATTGAAATAAATCCTGATACAGAGCAGAATAGTCGCTGACAAATCGCACGTCGAGGTCCTCTCTCATGAAATCCGGCAAATCATCATAATCTCGTCGATTCTCCTCGGGAATGAATATCCTCTTGGCGCCAACTCTTCGCGCCTAAGAGAGCAGTCGTGAAGATTTGTATAAGTATATAAGTACGATATTTTTCAATGTACATTTTCATTGAGTTGGGGGTAAGTAACCGAATCCATTTTTCATATTAATTGCAGCTGAGATTGTTCGCTAGGAAATGTCGGTCTAATTCGATTGAGAGCTTAATTGGAGAGAGTAAAAGGGTGACCGATGAGGTTTTCGCTGCTGTTCAATCCTTTTTGGAATTCGACACGCATTCTGGTTCCCGGATGGTGGTGGTATTTTGAACTCGACAGGTTCTACAGAATGACCTGCGAGGATCAGCCAATATACACTTAAGTGCTTTAGTCTTCTTGAACCGAGCTGCTACCAATTTAACGTCCACCGAAGGGAAAAGCGTGGGTGATAGCCAATCCCGGATCTGACCTCTCGACCGTGCGCGCAGTAAGCGTGCCAATTAACACTACACTACATCCACCTCATTTGGGCGGGGGGGGGATGTAGAGCAGAAAAAGCGAAAATTTCCCCTAGTAAAGAAGCCAGCATCGCCGAATAAATCAATCCTTTCATAACTGAGTAGTGAGTAGGGATTCAGTTCCTCATTCGAGGAGCAAGAGGAATTGAGGGAATTCAACTGTAGGAGTTTCCCTGTATTCACATTTGTTGTTTCAATTCTAGCTTAGTCATCTAGCCTTATCCAAAGGGCTAAAGGGAGGGGGGGAGGGGGTGGGGGAGCCATGAACTTCTGTATAGAACCCATTCCGCATTTTCAGTCACTCCGCGAAGCGGCCCTAAAGGAGGGGGAGAGGGGTGGGGGAGCCATGAACTTCTGTATAGAACCCATTCTGCATTTTCAGTCACTCCGCGAAGATCTGTATATTCCTGCAGGGCCATGAAAGACAGCAGGTGTATACAATCCAGTTCGCTGCGGACGGTGGGGCGTGTCAGGCAGTATGAGTGTACCACGGTAAACCCGTTCTTTGGCAATTGCTGAAGCGACAAGAGTTGTTGGGAAACAAGTGATACGGACGACATGCTACAGTCTTGTCACTTGCTCGCTTAACAGCTGGTGGAGAACGGGTCTGGCACCGCGCCAAACTCATCCCGCCTGACACGCCCTACCCTCCGCAGCGAGCTACACCTGTATACCCCAGCATGACACCCAAGACATTCAAAACCTCACTGCGTTCAGCAAAAATGAGACCCAGAGGTTTCAAACGGGGTATAGCTAAACAAAAAAAATAGCCCATCCACCTCTGAGTTCCTTTCTGTAAGTTTCAGCAACAATCCACATACCCTTGGCGCACAATCCTTCCCGTACACCTTCCAGCAGTATAGTCCATTTATGAAGGTAAAAGAAAACAAAGAACTTGTCATCGTCGCCGATGATGCCCCTTCGCCACGACCTTCGGCGGCGGAGGGAAGGATTTTCCGTATACAAGGATACGCGCATAGTTTGGCCGGTTACCATTTATGCTTCCCCACACAGTTTCACATTACTCTCTGCGTCTCTCTCCATCACATCCCAGGTCCACTTCACCGAAGTATTCGCTCTAAAAGGGTCAAATCAACCCTCAATCTTCGACCCACAAAAGAAGAAATGACATTATCATGAAGTTCGTACTACTTCGCAGTTTCACAACGGTTCACAGATTTTCATAAAATGTGAGTGCTCTTGAAAGGAATAAACATAATGCCCTCCCCTTAGTATACCTGCGCGATATCCCCTTCTTGTGGTTCTTGGCCGCGCAAAGGACTAGTGTCACCTCTTATCGAACTGTGCCATCTCGGCCGTTAATCTCACTGACGGAATCAATCACTTCGCTTTCATTGAATTTCATCATATGCCGGAATATACAACGCCAATTCTTGCTAGATCCACCCCACTTTATCTCAGGAAATGCTTGCTTTTTTTCCTAATTTCCATTTTTCTGAGCTTCTCACTGTCTGCTTCATTGTTACAAGTGAAGAAACTAACCGCTATGACCTTCTCCCTTATGCCACCGACTGGCAAAACTTTTCCTGTCAATGAGATTTCTCCAGTCATAGCCATTTCCTGTACAACGGGTTTGTTCAAAGCAAGAGAAAGTAGGGAAGAAACTACGGTTACTCCAGCAGAAGGTCCGTCTTTTGGTGTGGCTCCCTGGAAGCATCAAGTGAAGATAGGTTACTCGTGGAAAACGAAACTGAGCTCAAAGGTATACCTCCGGCACATGAATGTGAATATGAGCTTTGTCGAAAAATCTATTGTCCGGTTCATCTTTCGCTAGAATCCCTTTTGCGACCGTCAGTGCAGCCTTCACACTTTCCTGGAAAACAGTAATACTGCCAGATATTTGTACATTTTGAACAATTCGCTCGCACTTCGTGCTAAACTAACCTTCATCACATCCCCAAGATTTCCTGTCACTTCCAAACTGCCTTCTTTGTCACTAGCATAGTCGACGGGTCGTTTCAATACAGCTTCTATGTACAGAGCAGATCCACCCATGGCGGTCCAAGCTAGACCCATAATTACCTAAAAAGGCAAAAGCACCACTACATGATGTGTGGTTGGCGTCCCAATCAGTTACGATAAGTATTCCAACTAAATTTCCAGAATTTTTTTATGTAATGTGGTGTAATGATAGCAACTGCTATTACCCCGTAAAGGCACATTGTGCGCTTATCGTGTGGGCGGTCATTTGGATAAGTGCGCTCTTGTTCATGGGCCCATTTAAAACTGCAAGGAGGAGGAGCACACTTATGAGGAGACCACAGTGGTCCAGATGGCCTCGCCCAAACGATCAGCGCCTAGGGGTAGACGGACAAGACAATCGTAACGTGCGCTTCGCCGCGCGCCCTATGGTGTGGCGATTCGCGGCAAATGCTCGACATGTGTTAGCTAGTCGACTGGAACACAGAAACTCGAACAACTACGAGTAGGTACGAAACTACATGGCGGGAAATTCCCCCCCCCCCCTCCCTTCCATTTCTTTGACTCTCAGATTGAAAGCAGAACAATTCGTCCGATGAACAATGCGTAATGTGCCGCACTAGGATTGTTCACATACCCGTAGGTGCCCTCAATAAATACAATTTCCACAATAAATATTGCCTGCATTTCAACTTTTCGCGTAAAAAAAACTGAAAGGTGTGAAAACTTACACCGGGTGGCGTTTGCTCATACATTCGATCTGACGTGAACTTCGGCCTTCCAACGTATTTTTCCAAATTTTCGCTATTTACAACAATCGTGGGAGAAGGTGACTCTGAACCTGCAGGCGTCTCAGAATCAACAGGTGCTTCCGAACCAGCACTCATACGATCGGCAATTTTCAGTGCGGCCTTACGAAACACCTTCAAAAACCGTAATTATCATCAACTCAACACGCGCGGAAAAATAATCTCACCCTATCAATGTGTTTCTGCAAATTACGGACTCCAGACTCGCGGCAATAATGCTTTATGATGTCTTCTACAGCGCTATTTTCAATCACGAATTGTTCTTCCGTTAACGACCTAAAATATCAAATGTCTGATTTTTAAAACAATAAATAACACATGGCTTCAAATCCCAGATCTAACAAGGGAATGGTTTGAACTTCCCATGGAACTTTGAATGGAGACCTAGGTACATCGATAGAGCCTCGAATGCTGATTACGAATATGCAGATTAAAAGTGCTACGGGGACCTCCCAGACGAGATCTGGGTGGTCAAAGTTTGAGTTCTGGCTCGTAAGCGCTGCTGATCGATGCTTCGGCAGTGCCACCGTGGCCTCGTGGTAATGGTCTCGCTTTCAAGTCAAACGCATGCGGGTTTGCATCCGGTTGGCGCGAAAATTTTTGCTTCGCTCCGTATAAGAGCTTCAACTCTAATTTTCGAAATTCTTCCGAATTTACGGCCCAGCAGGGCAAGTAGATCAAGTACATCAAGTATACGACGTACTCGATCTAGTATGGATTTGGTCATATCTGCCCTCTCTGAACATATTACCCATCCGACAATTCAAAGTTTTAGCGAGAAATTCGTTCATGGGAGATTTCGACCCCCTGAACACGAATATCACATCCTTCGACGAAAAAAAACGCTCGTCTGGCCAAATTGCGATTCTGGGCAAAACTTTGAATTGTCGGATGGGTAATATGTTCAGAGAGGGCAGATATGACCAAATCCATACTAGATCGAGTACGTCGTATACTTGATGTACTTGATCTACTTGCCCTGCTGGGCCTTCGGAAGAATTTCGAAAATTAGAGTTGAAGCTCTTATACGGAGCGAAGCAAAAATTTTCGCGCCAACCGGATGCAAACCCGCATGCGTTTGACTTGAAAGCGAGACCATTACCACGAGGCCACGGTGGCACTGCCGAGGCATCGATCAGCAGCGCTTACGAGCCAGAACTCAAACTTTGACCACCCAGATCTCGTCTGGGAGGTCCCCGTAGCACTTTTAATCTGCATATTCGTAATCAGCATTCGAGGCTCTATCGATGTACCTAGGTCTCCATTCAAAGTTCCATGGGAAGTTCAAACCATTCCCTTGTAAGACCAAACTCACGTTTCTTTCCGAGCTTGAGGAATCAAATATCGTTGAGCAATTACGATTTTCTCCTCCGCCAGATAACCACTCACATCTATCAGTTCCATACGATCCTTCAGTGGACCGGGAATTTGATCAGTCACGTTTGCTGTACATATGAATAGCACGCTGAAAAAGGGTCGTAGTAAAAATATTCAATCAAAGCGAACTTGGATAAAACAGAAGGGGCAAGCTGAAGAAGCACCGATTAAGAAAGTTTTGGAGTGCGCAAATTGCGCCGGCGCTTTGAGCGTCTGCCAGCGTTTGAGTAATAATCGAAACCTATACTTTCTTTGTCGCTCGAAACGCTCAAAGCACTGGATCGATACCCATACTTTTCCAGCGAGTGAAAACGTTGACAGACGCTCAAAATGCTGACGCAGGGTATGAACGCACTCTTACTTTTGAATGTATCTTGAGCGCTAATCCGGCTATCACTTCACTTCACAAAATATAAACAGATAAGACTACGGCTAAGTTTTCTTCCTCTTCTTCTTTTTTCTATAGGTGAATGCATATGAAAAAAAATTAAAAAAAGGAGAAACTCTTTTTACCTCTCCCCTCCGATCATGCACTTCAAAAAGGAACTGCCGACGATATTCAAAATATTACCGTGACAGATCCACAGGGACGTCAAGAAAGTGGTCGTTGAAATTCGCGTTCTGTTCGGGATCTAACAACTCGAGAAGAGCGCTTGCCGGATCGCCGTGATAACCCGCACTTCCAATCTTGTCCACCTCATCAATCAGTACCAGCGGATTCTCCGTTCTAACCTGAACCAAGCCGATTTCGAGAAGACTCAGGTAAACGTGGTTCGAATCGACTGAATGGGTACGACTAACCTTCTTCAAACACTGAATCATCTTCCCAGGCATTGCTCCCACATATGTTCTTCTGTGTCCTTTTATTTCAGCAACATCGGTCATGCCACCCACTGAGAAACGGAAATACTGGAAATAGAGTAATATTCCATTTCCTGCCAATGCAGCGCACTGTCAAACGGGAGCTTTCAACCGTCTAAATAAATTTATTGGGAGCGTACTTGTCTATTAAGCGCTTCAGCAATCGATCTTGCAATACTGGTTTTCCCTGTTCCTGGTGGTCCATGTAAGCAGAGGATTTTACCTCCAACGTGTTTTCTGTAACCTGACAGTAGAAATAGCTCTCATGAAAATAAAAAAAAAACACCTACTTCAAAATGTTTATAGCAATGAATTCCAAAATGCGCTCCTTCACATCTTTCATTCCATAGTGGCCTTGATCCAAAGCAGCCCTCGCTTTTTGTAAATCGGTATTTTCTTCCGAGGTGATTCCCCATGGAACGTTTGTTAACCAGTCAAGGTAATTCCTAAATCAACATTTGAATCATATTTGATAAGTCACTCCCCTACAAACTCCCCTACCTGGTGACACTGAATTCGCTGGAATGTGGATCCAAAAACTGTAGCTTCTGCTGTTCCTCTTTGATTACCTGATGATATCTCGGTGACGTCACGGTAGAAGAAAAGGAAGACAACTTCTATTTGATTGCTAACCTTCATTGCGTACTCTGGTACTTTGAGATCTTTCAGTCGTTCCTCCATTTTCTCAATAATCGTCGACTTATCATCCTTCTCTATTCCCAACTCTTTCTTGATCACTTTAAGCTGAAGAACAATTATTGTATAATGTTACACAGTACTGAAAAAATCTCATAAAATAATAGTGACCTGTTCATTGAGCAAATACTTCCTGTGCTGATCCTGAACTTTCTTTTCAACATCCTTATTGATGTCAAACTTCAACTTTGCAACAGTTTTCTCCTTCTGAATGAGTACCAGAGCTAGGTCTAGACGTCTTGATACCTGAATAACTGTCCTGAGAATCTATAAGTAATCGCAAAACGGCACAGATCTATTAGCTTGCTCACTTTGATTTCTTCCATCATATCTTGAAGTTCTTTCGTATCAGCCGACTGCACTAAAGTGGCCACCAAGTCACATAAATACACCGGATTTTCAATCACATTTTGTGAAGGATGCAGAAGGAGGTTTATTTGCTGTCCAAACAGAGCACTGTACTGCACAACGTCACTGGAAACCAGAAAGTTCGAATGCCGCAAAGCAAACAAAAAAACTACCCGTTCGAAACAAAATTATTTTTCTTTTCACAGTAAGGTGTATTAACGATAGTCACTGCCATGCGACCGACCGTGCCCCCTCACCAATCGCTGGATCTCTTCAGCTAGTGATTGAGCCGCGTCCACGACAGAACCGAGGACCTGGCAGCCTTTTTGGACGAGCTCTTTGGACCACCTCTCTTACGCCAGCAAAGCGACACTCTACCGCCTCTGGCTTACTAATAGTTCCAACGCATCATTTAATGCTAATACCATATAAGAGAAAAAAAAACTGAAAACACGGTGTAAAAACAGACGCGACAGAAAACAGCCTTTCTGGTAAGCGGTACAACTGAGGAAGCATCGGAACTGCCTTGAAGAGGGCCACCGCGCTTTCGCTACTTCATGTGAAACAACGAAAGTGGGGCAATCTTAAAAAGAGGGCCAGATTTTTATATAAGGAGAGGCGCCTACGAATTCGTTGAGCGCGGGGACTGCCTCTAACAAGGGACAATTTAATGGGCTCCTTTCTGCTTGTAACTTCGAGCATGCATAGTTTATGAGGTGGTCACTAATTAGGCCTCAAAATAGATTCGATTAAAGTCAAAATGTAAGTATCATGTGGTAACACACTTGGCATGCACCGACGCAAGAGTGATGTTTTGTCAGCGCTCCCTTCACGACCACTGCCAACGGATCGGATGGCGCAGTGGATAACACGACGGGTTCTGGATGGCACGGCAAGGGGGGGATTTGTAGATGAGGACCTCTACCGCCTAGGAAAACTTTTTGGCATTTTAGCTTTCCCATTCACCAATCGTGTGGCCTGTGTGTCTGGCAGTGGAAATAAGCAGTATATTTTAAGCACATACTTGGCCACATTGTGGCCTGAAAAGGCTGTGCTGTGGCCCCCTCGCAGCTCATGTCAGAAGGGTTATTGCAATGAAGTACCGTCATATTTATGTTCAGCGGGTTGGATTACCCCTGGGGACTAATTTCTAGCCAAATCTGACGTTTCGACCTAACTTGGAAAATGTGGGCCATTCTATGGACAATTAGCAGCAGGCTGGGGTCCACCCACCATGGATGACTGGTCTTGGGATGGAATTTTCTACCGGTAATCAGGAAAATGATGCAGGCGGCACGAACAAGTGAGCCAGGTATTGCTCTTTGCGAAACTGATGACTGAAGGGTTATTTCAGTGCAAAGACCAGTCATCACCAGTATTCTAGTCGGAGTATTGGCTATCCGAGGTTCTGACTCAACCTCGAAAAAATGGTAGAGATGGTCACGCTTGAATGATAGCCCAATACTACGACTAGAATACTGGTGATGACTGGTCTTTGCACTGAAATAACCCTTCAGTCATCAGTTTCGCAAAGAACAATACCTGGCTCACTTGTATGAGCCGCCTGCATCATTTTCCTGATTACCGGTAGAAAATACCATCCCAAGACCAGTCATCCATGGTGGGTGGACCCCAGCCTGCTGCTAATTGTCCATAGAATGGCCCACATTTTCCAAGTTAGGTCGAAACGTCAGATTTGGCTAGAAATTAGTCCTCCAGGGGTAATCCAACCCGCTGAACATAAATATGACGGTACTTCATTGCAATAACCCTTCTGACATGAGCTACGAGGGGCAGCACAAGCACACTTTCAGGCCACAATGTGGCCACAAGTATATGCCTTCAAATGGCATATACTTGACTATCTCCACTGCCAGACACACAAGGCAGACGAGTGAAGTGGAAAAGCTAAAAAAATGCAAAAAGTTTCCTAACGAGAAGGGCCTATCTACAGAACTGCCCGCTTGCCGTGCCCACCAGAACCCGTCCGTGCGACAGAAAACAGCCTTTCTGGTAAGCGGTACAACTGAGGAAGCATCGGAACTGCCTTGAAGAGGGCCACCGCGCTTTCGCTACTTCATGTGAAACAACGAAAGTGGGGCAGTCTTAAAAAGAGGGCCAGATTTTTATATCCACTGCGCCATCCGATCCGCTGGCAGTGTTCGTGAAGGGAGCGCTGACAAAAACATCACTCTTGCGTCGGTGCATGCCAAGTGTGTTACCACATACTCGAAGTTACAATCAGAACGGAGCCCATTAAGATTGTTAAAACCGCCCATTCTTGTCAAATTCTTTTCACTCAGTTTTTGACCTACCCAGAAACGCATAGCAAAAATGAAACCCATTTTTGTGATCCTTGTATGGACCCCTACAACAAGCAACAAACCATTTCCAAAAAGCGCGCCACGACCTGAAAGACCTCCCTTGTAAGGCCTGTTCTCAATAACCGCAACTTTTCAATGGATCTGAGATGTCCTCAGGTTGAAAAAAGACCCCGAAACAAAGTTTTGAGGGAGATTTCCGCTTGTATTGAGCAGGCGCGTGAAGAATATGATCGAACCGTTATCTTCAGACAGAATAAATAAACTATATAAGGCACTTATATGAAGCCTATAAGAAGAACAAACCGAATTGTTTGAACTATAGCTTGCATCTTCGCTTTTGTTTCATTGTTTCGTTCAGCAGGTTCTGCGATTACATTTTCTGTTCGAGCCAGCAGAACCGAGGTTCGATCTGAGGTTGGGTTAGGCAAGACTTTCGGTGGTGTAAGTGAGCTCTGAACAAAAGGAGTAATTCTGAAAAAAAGAAACCACCAAAAGCTGAAAGGAACGTTCACCAAGAAAGCACCTTTTTCCTGTACCCTACCCTTCGGCCATTGAGAGATTTGTGAGGTTCCTCAGCAGATCCTTCCTCAACGGGTTCAAGTATGCGTATCCTACAAAAAAAAACGATTAGCGGTTCCAGGTTGGAAACAGCTTCAAAGTATGTACCTTCTGTGGGCACTCAATACTAGTTCCAAGACCTTGCCGTGGTCACGCATTTCTATGATCTGAAAAAGGAGACACAATCATGGAAGTTGAGTTATGAGGAAACAAATGCAGATCCAATGATTTGCTTATTGAAAGGTAGTGGACACATAGCTGAGGTTGGGTGGCTGCCGACGTCATTGGAGGAAGTTCTGCGAGAGGGCGTTTGGGCACACCCCATTCAGCTTTCTACCAATACGTTGGTAGCAACCGCCTGCCCCGCGCCAGAGCGACAGTAGGCGAGGGCCAGTGTAGTCACTGCCTTTGATAAGCTGTAATGTACAAACCTGCGCAAAACATCCAACGTTGTAGAGCTGCGATAATGAAGACACAACCTCTTCCTTATTCCTCAAAAGTACAAAAAGTAAAAAGGAATGGCAAATAAGGTGGGCAGCTACGTGTAAGTATAACCAAACTCGTCATCCTGCTTGACGAAAACTCCAACGTATGGCTGTTTTAGTGCAACTCTGTTTCGCAGTACTTGCTTTAGGGAATCATCCTTCACTATCTGAAAACAATAAAATCCAGCTCATTCCACGAAATGAACATGAGTGGAAAGCTCCCTCCTCCCACGAAACGGCCTTGAGGTCGACCAGAGTCATAAACGCGGTCTTAAAAGCGCTTTGAACAGCCGTGATTCAACTACCTGAAGATAGTTGGCGTCATCACTGACCAAGCTTTCAATCGGTAGAGGCCTTGTCTCGTAACTGGAAGAGTGGCTCTGAGCAAACGCTTTAGAAGCGTAGACTCGTGAAATCTCCCGCTTTTAGCAACTGAGCTATCGACAACACAGATGCTTCACAAAAGAGCCCCTAAAGGCTGGGCTGATAGACATAAACGATAGAAAACTAATTGCCTTTTGAATAGGCCCGTTCATACTTTGCGACTCGGCAATTCGAGAGATTGCGCAACGGCGAAATATAGGTATCGATCCAGCGTTCTGGACCTTTCGGCCTCCCGGGCGATTAGACGCCAAAGGAGTGGATGGGTATCGGTCGCTAGTGAGTGCGGGGATTCGGAGATCCGCGCCGGATTGCTTACTCTCCTCAAGTATAAGTATAACGCGGCCTCGAACGGAAAACCTGGAACATTGTGCCACGAGCCGTGTTTCCCCTGAATCCAGACAGTCATAACAGCATGCTTTTGCTGCAGGCAGAACGGCTGGATGAAAGGGAGCAAAAATGTCGGCGTTCTATGCGTCAACTATGCCAGTATTCCCATTCGCAAGCTACACTTTTTTCGAGCAGAACTGGAGATGGAACTCACGTCTACTTTCTTTATGAAACCTGGAAACAACGGATAGCGATTTATAGAAATCACAGGCACAATAGGAAAGACATCGGGAATGTTGATAGTGCTCATTCCACTCTGAAAAGACCAAGTATCAGTGGTAGAAACGACAGATGCTAAAAGAAACTGGAAGAATTACAGCATCAGTTCCCTCGACAATAGCAGTCTCTAACGTGCCAGACTCCTCTTCTGCTGACGCGGCAGGATTATCATTTTCTCCGTTAGAACTGAAAACTACCAAGTGTGTTGAAAGGAATGGATTTCTGCTGCGTTTTCTAGCTTAAGCTGCCTTCCTACTTCGCGATTGTACTTGGACCGACTAGGAAAATATAGGTATCGATCTAATGTTTCGAGTGTACGCCGGCCTTTTCAGCGAAATTGGTCGGCATCTATCCTTTCCTAGTCGCTCAAAATGCTGACGCAATGTACGAACGCACTCCTACCTGCTTGAGAACAGCCGAGCCTGCTGTGGTGGACTAACTAAGAACGAAGAGGCATGGAAAACGGCTGCTTTTCGTGGAACCACCACTGCGGATGATGACCGTATCCATGATCGTCGAAGTGCAGTGCGCAAGCACAATGCACCCGTTCGTAACATTGTCAAGGCTAGTACGAAATTCTCATAGATTTCTAGGTGTAACTGTCTAGTATATATCAATAGTGGGTATGAAGTGACCAAAAACCAGAATCACACTCTTCATCCAGAAAATTTATATCCCGCAATAAATAAGACAACGATTATAACCACGAAGAAAGTCATATATAGTGAATGCGATGAAATCTCGGTATCATTTCGTTTTCTTGCTCTCGGCGTCCACTGGTTGCCACTGCAAAAAGAGTAAGCAGCCATTTCACAAAAGATTGGAAAGTGAATTGCAACTTACAACAATAGGATTTTTACGGAAGAGAAATGGCCAAGGAGGTAGGATGATCAAGGCAGACAACGCGGCTCCACCAAGTACGGTGTAGATGGCATGCGACAGTTGTTGCGTTGCAAAACCGACGGCAAAGCCGATTATACCAGCAAGTACGATGATGACCTGATAATTGAAATTTGCTCCTAAAAATCAGATATGTCTTGGATATCACAAATTCAAATAGCCGAACCGGAAGGGTCAACAGGGCCTTTTTTAATGAGGTTTACTTTCGGAATTCATCCGAAATATCCATAAGGATAGTTGTTTCTGGTTACAATCAATGTATCAGCTCGCTGATCTCATTCTCAGTCAGAAGTGACACTTGTGGGCAGCTGGTACAGCATATGAGCAAAACATGGTTGACGTGTGTACAAATTGTGTACGCTAACACGGGACTATTTGTTGACGAATGCTCTGCCACAGAGGTTTTTTTTACTCAGTTTCATAGTCTGAATACACCATTAGCACAGGAAAAGTTCGCAGTTCAGGAAATATCTTAGGCTGCCTACATATATATCTGCGTCAGCGTTTGGAGCTCCGACTAGGTACGTACAGGTATTGATCTTGCGCTTTGAGCGAAGGCTACCGTTTTCAGGGGTTGCCCGACGGAAGCTCGAAATTCCCTGCGAAAACGCTCACAACCCTGCTACAAGTATGAACGTACCCTTACCTGGAACGTTCTTTCAGCGGCCTTCTGACCGGTAAAATCAATGTGGGTTGAGAACATTCTCAACGGTTCTGGTAGCATCTGTATGATCCCGTCCATCCTCAATAAAACAACTCATTTCAAATGCAAAAACCAAACGAGCTCACAAAACAGTACCACGACAAACGATATGGATAAGGACAGATCTTATACTTACCTATTTCATGTTAAAGCCAATTCCTGGAATTTCCTAGTAGCTTTTTCAGGTATATAGGCCAATGTGTTCGTAATTTGAATTAATTTTCTTCCTGATGTGTTTTTACGACCAGGAGCATAAATGGAATTTAAGTCCTCCAGGAGGAGCCACAATAAATAATCTCGCTCCTGATTAGATAGGCTATTGAACTCCTACATGCGATGCACCCCCTCCCCACCTCATTGATGCAGGTTGAATCAGAGAATATTGCAGTAGATCAATGGGGAGATGATCACAGAAAGTTTGAGACACGATATTCTGAATGAACAGCGGTTACAGGTCTTCTGTAAACCGGATGTTCTCCAGCTGCGACAGTTCATATGTATTTCCAACCGCATCTTCCAGCACAACTTCTGGAGGGAGGAGGATGAATAAGAGAGGACGGAATGAAGGAAAAAGAGAAAAGAGGAAGGAAAATGAACAACGGTTCAACAATGACGACACCAATCGTGCAATTGCGGAGTTCTATATTCCACGCCACCGGCCACAATGGTGAAGGCAGTTAGTTTCGGCAGCGTTCTGTGATGACTGTGATTTCCTGCTCTTGGGGGAGGTCTCTCGCCGGCCATTGACTTAAATGATATATTCGTGGAGGGAAATATCGAATACGACGTAGATTTTCAGTCCTGTCATGTCCAAATTCCACCAGTGGGCCGTAAGCTGGCAGCCGCTTGCGTAGATTAAGCGCCTCCCACCAAAAAACTTCACTCCAAAGCGGCCGTATTGAATTTTGCTCTACGTGCCCTCCTTTGCTTTCTTTTCGCTCGTCTTTTGTTTCGCATTTGTGGAATTCATTGAATCTGAATCTTTCGAATGGAATACCTTTTAGAGTTGCGGAATTGTTACCGAGTTGCAAACTGCCGTCCTTCAATCAACCGCTCTAATTAGGAATTATGAAAACTTACGGTAATTGACTCCAGATTTTCGCCAGTTATCTTATTGTTGTTAAAAGACCAAGATATCTCGGCGTACCCAGACCATTTGTTCAATATAAATTCACCCGCTTCTGCCCTTATTCATAGCCAGCGCCTTTTGTTTTGGTGCCAATCGGAAAAAAAACTCCTTAGCACAACAAACAGTATTAGAATGAATAACAAGGCCATGGTGTCCCGAAAGCAAAAGTTGGTATCGTTCTAGTCTCCAAACCAAACAATCGGCAAGCCCCTGAAATCAGTCGCATGCGTATTTGCGCTAGTGGTTCCGTAGTTTGCACTTCGTTTCCTTCCTTTATTTTCTTGTTATGTCCATCCAACGAAATGTAACCGGAGCAGCGCGAGCATGTCACTTCTTGGCACGGAAGTGTGGACTCGGTGCAGCGTCTGAACACAATCTCATATGAAGGAGATTGGTCGCTAGAATCAGTTTTGAAACGATGGCGTGAAATCACTCGCATGGCAGAAGTTTTAACTTCTTAGAGTGAGAAAAACCAGGTTTCTTTGCTTCGTACATATTGCCAACATGATACGATTAGCTCTTTCGGGAAGTTATCGCAAGAATGCTGAGTTGTGGGCAAGTCGGACCCACGGACGGGATTCGAACCCGGATCTTCTGATTACCGGGTTGCGTTCCCTATTATTACTATTACTATACTGCCGGGTCCACTTTTGATCTCTCAGCTCAGTGGCTATTTGTGCCATTGCCTTCGGCACTCACACATTCAAGGTAGCAGAAGATGCGGGTTCGAATCCCGTCCGTGGTCCGACTTTTGCCCACAACTCAGCATTCTTGTGATAACTTTCGGATCGCGCACTGCGGCGTTAAACAGCAGTTATCAAAACAATAACAGCTTTTGGGAATACTTCACCTATGGCTATGTTCATACTTTGCGCCAACGTTTTGAGCGTACATCAGCTTTTTGAGCGACTGGGAAAATGTAGATAACGATTTAGCACTTTGTGCGTACGCCAGCGTTTTGACCAATTGCCCACGAGAGCGCCTGAAACGCTAGACCGATACCTATGTATACATTCCTAGTGGTTTGAAACGCTCAAAGGCTGCCGTACGCTCAAAACGCTAACGTAAATTATGAACGCAACCTAAACTAGAGACAGTTCTTGTGAGGTTTCAGGTTTTCTGCACTATGCGACGTAATCTGTTGTTGGGATTTCAGAAATAGTTGCTCCTTCTAACGTGTTTCCGCCTCCAATTCATGCTGCACTGTCGGTGAGATCACGATGTGTCTTCATTGCAAACCCTCTCACTGTACATTCTTTGCAAAACATAGAGAGCGAGGTAGGTCTGGATGTGACAGGTTGGCCGTGACCAGGCTACTGTACGCACAATTTTCTCTACTTTAACCTAGTTCTCAGGTCCCTAGTCTACCTTTCAATGGACAGGTGGATTGCTTACGTTTAAGTGCAGACGAAAGGAATATTGCTATTGCCTCAAATGACCTTATCAAATTGATTGATCTTACTAAAGGTGAGCATAGAGATTTCATTTTGAACTTTATCCTTCTCAATCACATTTCTCTTAGGACGTGAAATCCGAAACTTATCCGCACACTCGCTAGCTGTGACTGCACTGACACCACGTAGGAGCAGTGTGTACTCATGGGTACGTTCTTAAAAGCTTGGTGCAGTTTTTTTCTGTCCTCTATTCCCATTGTTCGGAAAAACAAAAGGATTCGAGAATGAACAATCCAAAACAGGTTGGACGGTAATCTGAGTACTGAGGCATTGAAAGCTGAGTGGATATGAGCACCGGCTCACGTCTGCATTCTGGCAGGCCGTAAGTTCGATTCCTGCAAAAATAATAGCTGCAGTAATGGCAGAAACGGTATCGCTGCCAACGTCAGGACCGGGCTGACAGGCCGACTGATAAAGTGAAGTCGTTAGCACTCATTGCCGGGTCTCAAAGTCATGTTTAAAGATAGTCACAGAATCAGTGAGGCTAAGGCTAGGACGTCACTAGGAAATATCGCGCAGGACTTGCATCCGAGTTCTTTGGTCAATATGCGAGCGCTACCGAGTTGAACGATCTCGGTCAAAGAAGTTCGATTTGGGCACTAGCAGTGGGAGTCCATCCGCTGATCTGGATCCATGCTGATATTTTGCACGCTATTTATCCCTCCGTCCCCCGCATAGCCCGTCAAGCCTGTTGAGAGAAATGCACTATTGAATGAGGCTCTTGTGTTAACACTGTATCCTCCATTTAGGTATCTGGATCACTGGATTCTACGTGGATTATATGGGATAGCCGATCCCATCCTGCTAATATTTTGCAAGGAAGGATGACTGGACCAGTTCGTTGTGTAGAAGTGAGTATTTCGGCCGTTCTCTTATTGTTTGTCTAAATTTTGGTGTTAAGGATTTCATTAATTCAGAGAATTGTGTATGTTCCACTCATTCCATATTTTACTGTTGTCCTGGCTTGCAAAAAAACTTGTTAAACGAAATTTTCTTGACGCTACGTCTTTCCTAGTAGTTGGGGGAAGGGAATGCCAGTGTACATGTCAGCTTATCTCGGCACAATGAGCGACTGATTGTGAGCTCGTACTAGCAAAAAGGGGCATTTTGAATGTGAGAGGTGGGGAGAGGGGACTACAGAGTTGACAAACCGATTAAAAGAGCGGTTCTTCTACGGAATTTGTTGCAGATTTTGGCGAAAGCCTCGTGAGAACCGAATGTTCAATTACTTCTGCCAATCAAGGCTGTTAGATTTAACCTTTTACTGACCTAACGTTTCGACCTTCTCTTCTTCTGAGGCCTGAAAAATGGCTCGAGGCTTTTAATTTGTTACCTCCACCAAACGCCTTCCCCATGTTCCGACCTCGATCTCTGAACGCTTTCGAACAACTC